GAACGCAATTTTGACAAAACAGAGGAACCATGGTGATTTGCGACTAAAACTTACCAATTTTCAACCGAATATCAATACTCTTGCTGCTTCTCTTCAGAGACATCTATCCCCCTAATATCAGCTATTTTAATAAAAAGGTAGGTCTACATATTTTTAAGGCATTCAGTAGTAGTCGCAAAATGACAGTAAGAGGTCTTTTCATCCAATATAACTAATGTTATGTTTTCAAAGATAAGTGCGTATTTTACGTATTATGACATGTACGGTTTAAGAACTCTAGGCAAATTTCCATCTATCCATAATTTTGCAATTATTTTTTAAGATTATAAATCAGTGGAAAATATCTCCTTTTTCTGTTAATGTTATTGGGTGGATTTTATAAAATATGGGAACTATAAATTCTTTTGTTGGGTTGTTATGCAGGTCTCCTTATCACTTAACATTAGAAATGCAAATATGATTTAATGTTTTTGTTAAATACTTAATCTGGGAGTCGATAAGAAGGCAAATATTCTGTAAAGGGGTCGACGGGAAAAAAGTTTGGGGACCCCTAGTTTAGAGCTTGGAGTTTGGAGCACTAGGAGTAATTTTCAGAGAAACTCATGTATTACTTCACGTAAAGTCAATTTTCCGACAAATTTCAGAATTTTTAATAAAGTGTATTTATTTTTTCGTATTTATTAATAAATCGTAAAAAGATTTCTCGTTTATAAAAATTCCGTTATATATTAAAACAATTAACTAGTTGAAGTTACTGCATTCGAAAAATCATTTATAACTCTTTTTTACAACTCGTACACTGGTGGTTTTCAACCCGATGCTGCAATAACAGTTCAGGAGTTCCACTAAATATAATGCTGAACAGTGCCTTATTGCATGTACAGTACATGTATTATTAAAAGTACGAAAAGTACAAAAACATTGATTGATACAGTAGGAGACTGATACTCTACATTGATAAAGTAGGAGAAGTATCATAAGAAAAATTACAAGTTGGACGTGCCACTATTAGAAAGTTTGAAAAATACTGTTATATACAAACGTTTCCTATGTCATCATTTTGTCAATTAGGAGAGAATAGACGAATTGAAGAATAATGTTTCAATTAACTTAACTAATGAAACTGCCTTTAGCAAGCTTTTTACACTCAGATGATTTTCACAGAATTTTCAGCTGCCTTCACCTTTCAAAAATTACTTTCAATTGCAGTTTTACTTTCAGATGTGTGTTGATAGCCATTTTGGAATTAAGGCACCAGTTTACTTCATTTCTTTTTAATTATCAAGTTCTATAATGCAAATTCTGATTAAAGACCCATTCACGTTATTGCAATTTCAATTAGAAATTATAATGCTATCTAAAGCAGTTCCAGAGTGGAATAAATAAATCATGTTACACTCCCAAATTTCAATTGAGTAATTAATTGCTTTTGCTTACAATCTTAATGATTTTAGCAGAAATTAATTTTTTCTTTACTACTTCTGGATAGTTAGTTTTTAACAACACAAATGGTATGTAGTAGGTAACTGGTGTTAAAAACAACAATTTATAGGCTGAATTGTGCCAGATATTAAGAGATGATAAGACATGATAGTAAAGTGAAGTTAATGATAAACAAAATACAAATGCATGTACCTAAAGAAACTAGTAATCGTAAATCTGAGTAAGACAATTTCTCAGATGGCATTGATCTTTAGAAAAATTAATGAATATTTTCAACTTCCTAATAGCTATATCTCTAACAGTAAGAGGTTATTCTCCCAGATTATTTTTGTCTGTATTACTATTTTTGGGCACTGCTATATATCAATACAAGAACAAAAATACATCTATACAAGGGATATAGTCAATCTTAAAATGCATGGCATATATTCAGTTAAACATCAAATCCAGTTAAATAATCAACAAAAAGTTTAATATTTAGTGTATGAGATAGTTATAAAACAAACTAATAAAATATGACTTTTGGTACCATCTGTCAATTTTTTGTTATTAATAAGGCATTAAAATTATTTACATTATTAGAAAGGGAAGATAAGAAATCAGGTTATAAATAAATAAATTTACCATATATTAATAACAATGATATTTTTATTTGACAAGTTAATGTTTGTTGTTTAGCCTTATAAAAAGTAAATTTCATAAATTAAGATTAACTTAAGTCAATTACAAGTTTAATAATGATTTATATAAATATATTTTAAAAATTCTATTACATATGTGGAAATCTGCGGTAGGCTGTTTCTCAGCCCACCTGTTCACAAAGTCAGACCCATTAGGCCTGTCCATGGGATCACTGGATGGGACCGGATAAATTTGAATTCTCCTTGGAAAAACAAGATCTTCCTGACAATCCTGGGAAGCCTGTCGATCTTCCAAGAACTGTCTAAGATTTTCTGACACAAGCCAAAAAGCATGCATTTGGCTCACGAGTTAATTTCCTCATTTTTCGTCCAAGGAGAAGTTATGGATTCCCGATAAAATGCATGGCATATATTCAGTTAAACATCAAATCCAGTTAAATAATCAACAAAAAGTTTAATAAGAATCTTAAAAAGGAAGACAAGCACAACCAAACTGGTTTAAATCAAGTTTGACTACTAACTAACATCTAGGTTTGATGCAAGAGAGAGAGCATTTACATTTGTCTAAGCATAATACCTCTTTTGGGTTAGGATGATCTTCTAGGTTCATTGAGATAACAGCAACGTAAAGGCAATGGCAGTGTTGAGGGAGTTAAGGAGACCTGAGGCAGTCAAAATTTTTGGAGAGCGACCTTGAAACTGGGATGCTAGCCTCCTTATATCTATCGACCCCTTCCAATCAGGTGACTGCCTTTATCCATATGGCAAGATATTCATCATGACTCAAGTTGACAGATGTTTGTCAAAATGGGCAATAAGATCTCAGAAGTGGATAGTGAAAAAGGGAAGCTTGATTTCCCTTTTTCTCATCTTTTCTCACCAATGTACAAAAGTATGTCATTTTTAATGCAAAAATAATATTTTAGTTTGTGCATTATTTAATAAATTTATTCCGTCTCCATAATCTCACATATATACATATATTTAACATTGTGTTTATTTTAAAATACCTGTATAAATATTTTTGAATATTTTAACTATAAATCATATTTCTTCAATCATAAGAATTAAAAAATTGATTTCTACATTATCTTTTTTATGGAGAGTAAACTTTTGTATTAAGTTTTGTTGAATAACAGTTAGAAAAAGAATATAAATGCCATGAAATAGATAATGTCTGTCAGCTCATTTCTAAGCTCTTCTGTATTTACAATAAATTTTTTTAATGCTGTATCACAATCCCATCTTAAAGGAATTTTAAATGTCAAATGCTTTAAATTAACACATTATTGGCAAAGTTCACCTGAAGTGATGTGACTACCAAGTGGTATAGCCAAAAACGTCTATTATTGGTTATGTAAAGTTAGATTATTATTCATGACTGATGATTGTTGTTTTGGACTGCAAATGTAAGGTGTGTCTCTATTTCAAACAGGTAAAAATGGATAAAATAATGCATTTTAGAATCACAAAGTCTGATTGAAAAGTAATGAGACCAATTTTATTAAAAATCAATTATTTAAAACTTACATTTTATTGCTAATTTCCTTAAAAATAAACCTGTTCTTTCATCCCATTTTTTTTCCATGCCTCATACCATCCCTGGAAATAATTTCCACCAAACTGTTGCTTTTTGGATGTTCTTGATGGTTTCAAAATAACTGACTTCTAATTGTCATCCATCAATCTTGAAGAACTAGAAATTCTAAACATGATGGAATACTTTTTTTGGCAAAGCCATTGTCAATCTATTTTGTTTAAGTTGAGCTTGAAGTTGTGATGCTGTTTCTTCAGCCCTTGACAAAGCCATTCCTTCTAGATATTGCTCAAGTTGGATTTCACGATTTTGAGGGGTTTCTGTTGTTTTTATTCTTTTAGATATAAAATTTACCTGACCAATTTTACTCATATGATTTACTCTAAGTTTTTTTTTCTTCATTGACAAAATAGCAAGTCTTTTTAATTCCATGTTGATAAAACAAAGATTAATTGTACATATGTTAGTTAGATGAGCAATAACACTTTGTAAATAACAGGTCCATTAGATTGTTACTTCCAACTGAATGATAGAGCATCATGTGGTCACTGTGAAAAGATTTTTTTTTTAAATTTGTCATAGAAGTGACATAATACGGCTATCTTTTTCTAAAGTTTAAATTCAATGAAGTAAGTTTAAAATACACCATTTGCCAAAATATCTAAAAATGCAACTTAAGGAAAATTACAACCTGAAGCACAAACTAAATAAGGTCACTGATGTCATTGCAATGTAAATGTGATCACCGATCCAAAATTGATAAAACATTTATTCTAAAGCTAATATTTCCATAAAATAAGTAGTCTATACTTTCCATCAGAACATAAAATGAATATAACCAAAATTTCATCTGGATTGGACAAAAATTGCAGGAGTTATAAGGAATTCACACACAAACATAGACAATAGCTTTTATATTATTAATGACAGTCCATACATATTCAACATTATCACCCAATGCAGATGTTGAAGAATGCCCTGATCTTAATCCATCCTCTACTAATTCTCTTCCTTCTGAAAACATTTTACGTCAATAAGTATGACACAACTTCACCATCATTTTACGCAGTTTTTAATGCAGCATAAGTTTCAGTTGCACTCTTTTGAAATTTCATATAAAATTCACTGAATATCATTGCTTAATACTTTTCTCCATTCTTCTGTAACCATTACTCATAACATATGCACATCAAATCTTCAGTAAGGATTACACAACTGACTTATGTAAATGAATTCTAGTATTGTCATAATGCACAATACAAATTCAGTCTCATTACTTTTCAATCAGCCTCATATGCACACCATTTAAATATATTGCATAATTTCAACAATATGTTAACTAATAGAACTAAATACTACATTTTATAATCATGTTTTAATGAATAAAATAAATTCAACTTTGCAAGAAATAACTGTTTTAATATTAAAACTACATTAAACTAATTTATGTACACAATTTATTTTTATGATTTATGTACAAATGGGTGGTCAAATGTCTAGTTAGTTGGTTAAATCTGAACTGGCTAACCTCTCCAAAATGTGTCTGTATTCTGCTTCCAGTTCTCTATATTGATGTTCTAATTGCTCAATTCTTTGCTCCCTACTTGTGCACTGAAGAGTGGCATTAAATTCACTAGCATTCAGAGTTTTTTGGAGTTTGGCCAGATCTGACTTTTGTCGCTAAAATACGAAAAAAAAAGAAAATCATTAAAAACATTGAAAATTTTAATTCCTAGAATAATTTTCTTACCTGATATGGAGAATTTAATCTTTTTTTGATTTCTAATCGATAAGCTTTATATTCTTCTTCATTATTAGTATTTGTGATATGCAGCCGAAGAATCTCATACACTCTTCTTGCCTGTTTCTGTAACACAAAAATATTAATAAATTCTTTAATAAAATACTAATGAAAATATAAGATTTATGTTTTGATAATAAGATAAAAATACAATTAACATTATATTTTCTACAAAAATTAAATTTATTTGAAATTAATATTAATACAATAAATGAGCCGTTTATTTTGAAAGTGGGGCAAGTCCATTTTTTTAAAAAATGGAGATAATGGTAGTTATAGATAAAACTTGTTATGATCTTTTTATGCATAAACAATTTATAGTAAAAAAAAATTCAGATTCTAGTATTTGGGAGATGGAAGTTTTAGCTCTTAACAGTATTGAAAATATGTTTATTTTGAAAGTGGTGCAAGTCCATCTTAGATTGAAATTATTTTTGACCGCATATATTACGGCAAAATTTAGCTCCGGTTGCTGTATGGTGAAGCAATGTGGCCGTTTGACATCATGTCTGAAATCTAGGGTGTTTCTATCTATCTATCTTTGATATTGAAAGTCGGTGGTTGTACAATATTTCATAAATAACAAAAAGTATATCTTAATTTTGTGTTTCGATAATAATAGGTTTACTTCCAACACCGAGAAATATAAGCGGAATATGTAGGTATTGAATCAAGGCTTCCACAATTTTCATAATGATGAAGTTAGTGTGTATGTTTGGGATGAAACTATAGCATCCCGAGGAGCACAAGAAGTAGCATCTTGCTGTTTGAAGCACTTACAGACTGTGACAACCCAAAAACACATTATAGCTTATAGTGACATGTGCACTGGCCAAAATAGAAACATAAAGTTGGCCTTAATGTGGATGAAAATTGTTCAGTCTGGTGACAATGAAATAAATATCATTGATCACAAATTTTTATTTTCAGGACATTCATTTTTACCGAACGATCGTGATTTTGGAGTGGTAGAAATGGCAATCCGGAAAGCCAGTTCCTTGTATATTCCCCAGGATTACTATAAACTAATACGAAATTGTCGAAAACATAATAAATTTTTAGTACATGAAATGAAACGCGAAAATTTTTTTCAACCCAACCTCTGGGGAAAGCAGTTTTAAAAAGAAACAAAAATACCGATGGAGAAACCGTGAATTGGTTAAATATATGCTGGATCAGATTTACAAGGGATGCACCATACAAAATGTTCTACAAAACTTCGATAGAACGAGATGCTGAATTTAAAATTATCGATTTGTCACCACAACGAGGAAGACCAAGTAATTTCGGAAATATAAAGTTATCTTTTCTGTATGAAAAAAGGAGATCTATTACATCTGAAAAATACAAGGACATGATGGATTTATTACCATATATACCTCCCGTTCATCATGAATATTTTAAAATGTTAAATCCTGAATAAAATTCATTTAATTATACCTACGTATAAACTGAAAATGTATAATTTCATTGAAATTCTTAATAAAACTGAATTTTTTTTTTTTATGTTATATTTTCTACTAGAATATTCTTTGTTTTGTTTCACTTTTTATCAAATGAATAAATATTTATAAAAATTTGAATAGTATTTTGTTTTTATTATTAAAAAAAGGCTGATGCAACTGAAAAAATTCCCAATTAAATGAACGATTACAATAATTCATTAATTTTGAAAGTGAGGCAAGTCCATTTAGTTATATTGAAAGTCTTACTTTTTTTAGTCAGCACTGTAAACACTATTGGATTATAAACTTACATTATCTGGTACCACAAAATATTAAAAATATATCTATTAATACTTACCAATATTTTTAAATTTATTGAAATGCAAACCTTTAAATATCTCGCAATAACAAAAATTGGACTTTCCCCATTTTCAAAATAAACGGCTCAAATATACCTTTATTGCATCTAACTATTTTCATTCCCTTTCTCTACAATGTGTGTCCCACAGAAAAGATGACTGGTTTTATCTCCAAGTTGTCTGTAGTACCATCTCTGAGTCAACAAATGCATTATTACATAACAACACATTTTAGCTAAAAATTTTAAGACACTGGAATGCCTGATTCATGAGGTATGACATAACGTGATAATATCTTTTGTACTTTTGTAGAAACATGATAATGGAGCAATGCACTAACATTAAATTTTGTTTTAAATTTGGCAAAACTGCTACTAAAAACATTTGAAATGATTTGAACTGTTTATGGCAGTGAAACAATGAGTCACAAGAATGTTTTCAAGAGATTTGCAAGATTCTGTGATGGCAGGAAGAGCATTGAAGACAACTGGATATCAAAGCAGAGAATATCAAAAACAACTGGAAACAAAAAATGTGCAAAATGTGGCTGAAATTCTTCAAACTGATTGCTGTAAGTCTGTGAGACTCATTGAGAAACTTACAGGTATTCCTAAAACTACTGTTCATTCTAACAGAGAATTTAAACAAACAGAAGGTCTGTGAATGCTTTATGCCTCACTTGTTGACAATAAACCAAAAATATCCCAAAACAGCACTGCAGACATGCAAAAAAGTGCAACTGTAGATCCAGAATACTTATCAAACATAATATGATGAGACATGGTGTTCCAATGTGAGCCATCAACCAAGTGCCAAAATGCAGAATGGAGATCACAAGAAGAAAAACCAAAAAAATTGCAAATCAAAACATTGCTCACTGATTTTTTATTCCAAAGGCATTATTCACCACAAATACATTTCTTGAGGTCAAACAGTAGATAGTAACTACTATTTGGGTGTTTTGTATTGTTTGTGAGCCAAAATTTTGTGAAAGCTACTTAAATACTGCAAGTAAGGCTGATGGTCATGTTTTGTATGATAATGCACTGGCTCACAGTGCAAAGATTGTACACAATTTTTTGGCCAAAGAAAGAATTATAGTGCTTGAGCATCTGCCCTATTCTTCTGATTTAGCTCCTTTGATTTAGCTGACTTTTGGTTATTTCTGAAATTAAAGTTGATTATGAAAGAAGCATATCACAGTTCGATTCAGAACATCCAAAAGGGTGTGACAAAATTTCTGCAGACAATTCTGGTGGAGGACTTAAGACTGCTTCAAAAAGTTTACAATAATTTTGAACAGTGTATTGAGTCATAAGGAGATTATTTTTGAATAATCAATAATAAAGACATCAGTCACTTTTTCACTGGGACACATTACATATTGTTCCTTATTTCTCTGATGATAACTTAATCAATTTGAATTTTTAATTTAGCTTATATTTCACAACTAAATTATTTTAGAATTTCACCAACCATTTCATATATTTGCTTTGAACACTTTCCATATATTCAATTTTTATTTTAAAAAATATTTTAAAAACTTTTCTGTCATCTAATTTCGTTACTTTGGCTATTCTAAGTGTGTAACTGCTAAATTTGTCCTTTAAATATGTTTTTATCTGAAACAATTTTCACTACTGTTTATTAAAACTGAATGAATGAGTTTTACTAACAAATAATTTTATGACAGTATTCATTTCATTTTGACTGAGGAATGACTTTGCCAGTTGATTTTTCACTATTTTATTATTATAACTTAATACAGTAGAACCTTGATTATCCAGACTAATTGCAGATGAAGGTAGTCCGGATAAGGGAAAAATTCGGATAATTGAAACAAATACTTTAATTTGTCTTTTAATGATAATACAACACGTTTTCTTTTCGATGACATGTAGGTAATATTAAAAGTAAATACCGTATTTAAACCGTAATCAAATTTTCAAGAAACAAACGTTTGTATTGAATTTGGACTACTACTGACCAATGCTAACAGACTACTTATTGTTTAAAAAGCCCTCTGGTAGCGCAAGAAGACGGATTTTATAAAATAAAAAGCCGTTGAAACTGCATTTTTATGAATAAAAATTTGACAAACTATTTATCGTTTTATGACGAGTAAAATTTTTTCGTCGCGTTCGCGGCTTTTAAGTAATGCATAAACCTTCGAAACGCGAGACCCTTCAGACCGCAAGGCATAGGCGGCGGCCTACATTGCCCATGCCTAATGCCGCCCTTGGTCATAGAAATGATGTAATTTGAAAATAAATTATTTATAAATACGTATGTCAAGTTATATTTTTATTATGATGCAAAATATATTTAAGAGTTTACGGCCACTGTGCCGGGTGAGACTTTGTTGAAACAAAAAAGTTATGCATTCCATCACGTACAGTACATAAACAGTATCATAATTTGCCAAGTGCAAATCAGCAAATTCGTAAAATTTTTGTTTATTTTGAACAATCCGGATAATCGAAAATCCAGATAATAGAGGTCCGGATAATCAAGGTTCTACTGTACATCAAATTATTTTTTAGATTATTTTTCATTAAACTAACTGTCTCTAAATTTAAACTACCTAAAAAAACTATCTAATTTTTTAAAAATTTCTTACTTCCTAAAAGCTATACAATATTTTCTTTACTATGACCTGTTTCATTATTTAATTTTTGCTTACAGTATATCTTACATTCATTTTCTGGAAGCCAATGTCCAATGATCACCCTTCAGGTACTATTGAAAAGGAATATGGGTGAATTTTAGACTCACATAGACAACAGTAAACATATCTGATAAAGTAAACAACAAACATACTGGGGAGCCTGTTACTGGTGTGCTCTAACAATATCAGAAAAAACAGAGTGTTATGAACGTAACATTCTGTTTTTTCCAAGAAGCACACTGATAACAGGCTCCCCGGTATGTTTGTTGTTTACTTTACCCCGGTGTAGAATCACTCTTGTTTGATACCTGATAAAGTTTAGTACAGCAGAAATATACTGCCACCAAGGTTCGATCAGGCTTGCCCACTTAGTAGTCCAGTACCATATTTTGAGATTATTATAGTCTTCATTTCTATAATAGCCAAATATATGTATGGAATAACTTGTACTTTACATCACTTAGAAAATAGATAAATTTGTGCATTTGTATACATGAAAATAATAAATAAATCTCTAAAAAAGCTATTTTATATAGTTAGCTTTTCAAAAAATCCATTCCATAGTTTCCAATTTCAAAAATTAGAATTAAATTTTTGATCAATTCCACTATTTTCATTTTTATTTCTTATTATTTATTTTTATTTATTTATTTATTATATTTTCCAACTTTGATTGATATTTATTTTCTATGTAGTTTTCATATTTCTTTTTGTTTTCTCTATTTTCTTTTTAATAATTTTATACTTCTTTGCGATTCTGCTCTTTAAGCAAAGGAATTTCATAGTACAGTAGAGCATCGATTATCCAACTCAATTGGGGACTGGGGTTGGTCGGATAATTGAAAAGTCGGATAACTGAAAAGTATGAAAAAATCCATTATTAGTGTATTATATTATTATATCCCATGTAATTAGTATATTGCTATTAACCTACTTCGCGTTGAATTTTCCTCCATGTTAAGCCTATCAAATTTTTTTTAAAAGAATAATCGTCGCTATTGTATCGTTAAAAATTAGAAAATTAAGCCTCGTTTAAATACTGGCTCCCTTTTATGGTCGATCCAGTGTTGCCAGCTAAAACAGGTAAAAATAATATTAAAGTAGCCAAGACATAGCCAAATATTGTAGCATCACATCACTAGTGGACATTTGAATTTGCCAACTAGAACACGGTTGGTTAACCGAGGTGACGGTTAATCGGGGGTCGGATAACCGATGCTCTACTGTAGTACTTTTTTTTTTCTATTTTGGCTTTAGTTATGGTTAAATTCATTATTTAGTTATGGTTTTCTCTATCTTCGTAAATAATTTTTATAGAGATATTGTTAGCTAAGAACACAAGCTTTTGGTAACTTTTAACATTCAGATAATTTGAGATTAGTAAGTTAAAATTTTAATATGTTATGTATAACATGTTTGGCAATTAAATCATTTTTATTTTGAAAACATTTAAAAGCAGTTTAGATTTCTAAAAATTAATGCTTAATTAAATATAAAGTTTAATATTAACAGCAATTAAAACTGAAATACATTCAAAATTCAAAATGCAATTGTTTAAACTCATACTAATACAAAATTTAGGTATAAATTCAATTTAGTTGTCAAATCAAAATTGTTTATATAAAAAATATTCTTATTAATCTAAGCAACATTGCAAATTGCAAACTAGTTCATATCTTTAAAACTAGTTTGCAATTTTAAATCTGCTTCATAGTTGGTTTAAGAATTAGAAGATACATGTTTATATTTAGTTTCTGTGAACTACTTTAGTAACAGTAACATTTTTCTTGGTTCATATTGCATTATGAATTTATATTTCAAACTAGCTGTAACCAGCGGCTTTGCCCACGAGGATTTTGCAAGCAAACCCTACTTATATTCAGTATTTCAACAACCATAGTAATTGTTATATAACACCTACTGCTGAGAATGATGAGAATTGCTGAGAATCAAACAAACTATTTTCAATTTGATCAATTTTCTGGAACGTTTACAATCATTCTATAATCAAACCAATATGCAATAACAAATTTGAATTTAAAACCGTTTGAACATTTGGTTAAAAAATGAAAATGTATAAAAATATTTGTAACAATGTCTGAAATGTTATCAATTTAATACACCTAAGTACTGAATGAAGACTAAATGTAGTTGAAAACAAAAAATCGCATCTAAAATAGTACAGTAGAAGCTGTTCTTCTGGTTAAGGCTTAATTAATTAATCCTCTCTCTCTCCCCCTGCGGGAGAATTTCAAAAAATCCCTTCTTAGTGTGCATTCCCATGGCATACCCTACTAAAATGCAAATAAAAACAAAATATCACATCTAAAATAATACAGTAGAAGCTGTTCTTCCGGTTAAGCCTTAATCCTCTCCCTTTCCCCTCCACCTAGGAATTTTGAAAAATCCCTTCTTAGTGTGTGTTTTCATGATGTACCCTAACTGTGTACCAAATTTTGCCTCTTTAGGTTCAGCAGTTTGCTCTGGGCGATGATGAATCAGTCATTCAGTCAGTCAGTCAGGACAAGTAATTTTATATATTTAGATAATACAGTAAACAGTAGTAATGGATATGCTAGATAGAATAGAAAGAATGTATGGTATATGATAATTATTTACAGAGGCAATTTATAAAAGTTAAGAGTATTTAGAAATTGTATAAATTCTCAATTTATTCAATTTCCAATAATATATGACAATGAAGAATTTGTAATTACAATCCAATATATTTTAAACTGCATTTTTCTTCACGTATAGAATACTAAACCCCAAATTCTATCTAAACAAGTAAAAGAAAACTGATGTAACAACATATGTAATTAGCCCTTTCCTTGACTGAACAATACACACTAGAGAGGCATGATTTACAATTGGAACAGCATACTTTAACAAAGTTCTCTTAGTCTTATTGTAATCTTCTTAGTTATGTATATGATCTCCAGTAGATGTTGTTAAAAACTTAATGTATTTTTATGGAAAAATCCTTTCGTGAAAATTCTTGAAAATGGAATTAGATAAAACCAAACAGTTTATTGCATTAGGATCATATTTGATTCTTCTATTAACACATGGTTCAGAAGTTTAAAAATCAAATTCATTAATTTTCTACAAATATTGTAGAAAATTTTTAGAAAATTAATGAACAAAATTCTGAATCTTGTGTTAATAGAAGAATCAAATATGATCCTAATGCAATAAACTGTTTGGTTTTATCTAATTCCATTTTCAAGAATTTTCCCATAGAAAAAGCATTAATTTTTAACACCATCTACTGGAGATTGCATGCATATCCAAGATTACAATCAACCTTAACTCTAATATCAACAAGTGTCCATATACAAGCAAGTTACACTCATACTAAATGTATTAAGGCTAAGGCAAGTTTCTCATTTAGTCTATATTTCAATTATTACTGAAGTTTAAAAAATTAGCCCTAAGAGTCAGCAATAAATAATGATGTTTTATATATAAATTACCTTAGTCAATTTCAGTTTCTCTTGTGCTTCCAATTTCATTTCTTCACTGAATCCCTTCTGCAGATTTTCTTGACTATAACTTGTAAGTTTCAAACAATTTTTAGCATCTACAAAATCTCTCAATCTAGTGAAATTATCAGATGGATCTTCAACTACAAATAAAAATACATGTTAAAATAATTACATTATAATTTATGTAATTCTAAAAATTTCTTACCTGTAATATCAAAAACTAAAGCATCTTGAATATACCAATTGTAAATGGTTTGAAGTAATTCTGCTCCCAGACTTTTCTTTTGGAAAGGTGGAAGAATCATCATCTGACTAAATTCAAATCATTAGATTTTTGCATTTACATTTATATAATTACTATTAATCATATATCTACCTTATTCGTGGCCTTGTTTTGTTAGGATAGGCATAATACCTATAAACAGTGGTATATCCAACAAACCAATATATAGGCTCACCATCTATTACCTTCTTTTCATATCTAAAAATATAATTTTCCCATTTAGATTTAATTAAATGAAATGAAATACATAATATATATCCAAAAATAACATACTTACATCACAAAGAAATCCCATTTATCATCATCTACTTCAATATAAGAAGCAGCATCAACAAACCACAAAAGAAATGTCTGCATACGTTCGTGATATTCCCGGAATCCTGTCACATCTATGTTGCATTTAAAGACTTCATAACATTTTTTAACTGAACCATCTGTAATAAGGAATTGTATTTAAACATACATTTTCTCCTTTTTATATGATTACATTAAAATTTGTACAAATCATATATTTGGATTTTATTTTAAAAAATTTAAACAGATCAATTATTTGTAATTTTTTGAAAGTATACTTGAACACAATTAAATGAATATTCTCAGACTAAAAAATATGACTGAATATTTGTAAAACAGGAAAAAGTTCATAAAAACAAACAAGATAAATTTGTAAATAAAATCTAAACAAAAAATATAAAAAGTTTTATAAAATAATGTGCTTAAATGCAATTGTGTTTACCAGTAGTAAAACAAACTAGATAAAATTTAAATATATGTTCCTAATGTAGGATGAGGAAAACCTTTCAGTAAGGTCAAAAACATATCAACTAAGCACAAAAATATTGCTGAAAGTAAAGTGTATTTATTTGTGATTGTAAGTTTATAAGTTTAAAAATACAGGTAAAAACTAAATGAAGAGGGAAAAAACAGACAAACTGATATATTTTAGTTTACATTTTTGGTTTTATTGCTTCATTTTTTTCAGATTTCAGATAATTATAAATATTAAATTTATTTTTAATTAAAAATAATGATAAAATTTAAGAATAGCTGCAGAAAAGTAACCAATTCAAAAATGATTAAATATATGATAAAAATTGCATAGTAACATTATTATGATTTTAAATTAAATTTCAAATCATTAATTAAGTTTATATAAAAATAAAATTACCATTTCCCTGTTCAAAAGAATGTAGTAACTCTCCATAAGGTTTAAAATTAGCATCTTTGGATAGAGAAGCAGTAAAATCATCAATATTTGTGAGAAATCCAGGTTGAAGTTTTTCACCTATGATTTTAACAATGTTATCAGGCTATAAAAAGAAAAAGATAATTAAAAATACTAAATTTATAATTTTTATTTAACTTAATAACTATATTATATCATATCCTTCTTTCACAGATGTAGAAATAAAAATATTTTCAGCAGATTTCTTTTATTTTTGAAGATAAGTTAATTATTGTTATGGAATTAAGTGCAAAAATTTTATAATAATAGCAAATGATTAACTGTTAAAAATTATCTATAAATTATCATAGTAACATTATTTACTACAATGAAATTACTAAAAAAAATTGTTATTTTAATAGTTTAATAATGTAAGATGATTTTCCATTTTACAAACAGACTTTCACAAAATTTTGAAACAGACTAATACATCTACAGATCATTATCAAACAAGATATAAAAGGAATTGCAACTTGATCAAACAGTAAATCTTTTAATAAAACTTCATAAACTGAACTGAAAGTATTTCTAGAAATGTAATTCAGAATTGATACTATACTAAATGATAAAAACCTAACATATTTCATCTATAAATGAGGTAATTTCAAATTACTATTCCAATTTTATGCTCTGACAGTGATTATATCTATAATTTTGTGTCATAGTGTATACTGTAGTTAGTGTCTATAGATTGTAGAAATTTATATATTCATATAGAACACCAAATATAGTATAAGGAAAAAAAACAACATTAAGCCTGACAGTTATATTAAAGCCAAACAATTACCAGATTAAGGGCTATGAGGCCAAATTATTTAGTATTTAATTATTAATAATAATGACTTTTGGCTTTAACATAAAGAAAATGTATTGTCTTTTGGCATTAAATTTATTTATTTGATGAATTAAATACAGCAGGTACAGTGCTTCTGACATTTGAAAATGTCATTCTCAAGTGAAGAAAGAATTCAAATTTTGTATATTCTTATAATTGACTAAAAAATAAAATGACTAATAACAATACACAAAATATACAAATTATATCCTTAAGACACCTTACAATCTTTAACCTCATTAGAAATGAAAAAGTACCCAATCATAAAAAAGTGGGGGTGTGTACTAAATCCCACTAATCAATAAGAAGGAGAAGTGCACTATTATATCAGGAGCATATACACCTATATACAAATTAAACATTAAATCCACACTATGATAATTTATAGATAATTTTTTACAGTTTAATCATTTGCTATTAGTATAAACATGTCATCCACAGAGAAACAATAGCAGCAGCAATAGTGCAGGTTGCAAAGACCATTTATGTCCAGAAACTGTGGGACCAGACAGAGAAAATACAAAACAAAAATGCTACCCATAAGGACAGTAAAGAAGATCATGATAAACACACATTAGGACCAAATGATCAATAAAAATAAGGATACTGCTGACTTACATCATGAATATGGATAATAACCAACCACACTACAGAGAAACAAAACAATGAATTCCTTACAAAATAATTTCTATTTTAATTTCATTTTTATTTTTATTCATAATTCTTAATTTCTATTGTTAATTATTTTATTTTACTTGTTTCTTTACTTTATTCTACAGTCAAACTTCTGTTTACAAACTTAATTTGTTCTTAAAAGTTGTTTGAAAACCGATTTGTTTTCAAACTGAAACAAATTTTCCAATAAGAACCAACATAAAATAGGTTAATCCATTCCCAACTGCAAAACAAAACCTTTTTAGTTGTATTTCATCCATAAAAATACCTACAAATGCAATGTAATATTATATTATAACATACCAACTGAATAATAATTAAAGTTTATAAAAAAAAAAACAATTTCATTTGTAATAATCTGTGAGTTAGAGGGTTTTTCTCTAGCCCTTGTGTGGTGTCGGGACCATTAGTCCCTCTCATGTTGTCACTAGATGGCTTGGATTCAAGTGGAAGGGGTCGCGAGTAAGTCAACAGGTGACCCATCCTCACAATAACTGATTTAGACATCAGTTAAACAAAACAACAACTTTAATGAGTAACATAAAAGGGTTAATAAATTTTTGTAATTTAATTTGAGTTAAGCACCTTTAAATATGAATTATTGGATGTCATTTATATTATGCAAATATCAATTAACACAGTTCTTATTAATTTGATTTAAATTGAATTGTGATGCATTCCGAAAACTGGAAGCAGTTTCTTACCTGCATGCGCATTGAAATCTAATTTGAATAACATCGTCATTGATGATTTGTTGTGAGTAGCCACTTTGATCACAAAATTAATTTTTACAAATAATTTGTCAAATTAATTAACTTTTTAATTTTTAATTTGTCAATTTGTGAATTAAAAATTACAAAAAATTTTTAATTTGTCAAATTAAAAATTATCTGTAAAAATTAATTTGTGATCAAAGTAGCCAAACAACTACTACTATTGTGACATGTAATGATGAGAGGCAAATTTTGGGTACATTCATAAAATCGAACAAGTTAAATGAGAATGACATCATTGTTATTCTTATTTCATTAGACTTTTCGACCAATTTGTTTATAACAAAATGGCTGTTGATAAAATCAAAGATACGAATGTTTCTAGTGCAGTCTTATCCAAAATATTTTTCTTAGATTGCTTCAAGTGGACAGCTATTTTTATCATTTCACTTTTAATCCACAATTTAAACACCAGAATAGAATTAGAAGCATCGATATTACAGGGCACCATTTTCTTAACAAAGTAAACTAACTCTTTCCTTCGTGAATTTTGTTACAGTTTTGTTTGAAATGTCACCAACATCGAGCATGTGCACTGAATGGAATTTGTACTTTATGACAGACTTGTTAGTAACGCATTTAACTCGTTTGACTTTACGAACACACCCTTGGTGTCACCACTGAATTGGTAGTCCTGTCATTGATTGATCAGGCCACCAACTTTCCTTAACATAGGAAGTATAGGAAGTTCACAATTGGTGGCTAGCTCTGCTGAGTAGCTTGTTTAGAAACTGAGTTAACATGTAGCAACCAGAGCAAATATGGCATTCAAAATTTTGTTTGTAAACAGCATTCGTAACCCAAGGTTTGACTGTATTTGTTTTAATTAAGTTTATGCTCCAGAGATGTTACTATTTGCATTAAACTGTCATATTTTGTAATCAAATATGAGATCTGTTGCATTTTAGTAAATTCTAATTTAATAATTTAAATGTCACTTCCTTTTTGATCACAAATAAATTCTTCAATTTAAAAAAAAGAAAAATGAACATATTATCAAAGGGTAATATGTCCATTTTTTATCAGATAGCATTCTACAATATGATTATGAATATACTATTTGCCTGAAGACGCGTATTTATTGAGGTACAGTATTTAAAATGCATTTTAAGGCACAATAAAATTTCATTGAAATCAAGTCATGTGTCAGAAAATTCTTGAAAATGCCATAAGTTGTAACATTATTTCAACCTCATATAAGTGAACATTTCAATTTTCCCCTAGGTGGTCTTACACCCCTTTAAAGTGTCCAGTTATAATTCCTCTAATACTTCACTAGACAATTTTAAATGCCTGGTTAATTTCATGTCAAATTTTATTCCTGGAAGCAAAACTAAATGAATAATACAGAATTTTCTACAGGTCCTGAGAGATAAAAAGCAGTTGGTGTTTGTCACATTATAGCAGCAGTCAGCTTGTTATTTGTACTTATGAATAAAATGTTATTTACCATACATAAAATGAATCAAGAAGCTATGACTTGTCAGGCTTCTTGATTCACTTTATGTATTATTTACAGAATGATTTATTGATGATTTACAGAAAAAAATCCTATCACCACCATCCTCTTGCTAGCACTGTGAGCCTTTGAGGTTCTATGCTGCAGATACAAACTTTCTCCAGATTCTTTCTGTTTACCACAATGATTCTTCAGCTGAATATTCTTATAGTTTTAGGTTGTCTTCTGTTTTGTCCAACCATCTGTTTTTGTGGCTGTCCTAGAGGTCAGACTCCTTCCACTGTTTGGATGTAGATAAATTTTGGCAGCCAGTCTAGTTGCATTCTTTCAACATAACCCAGCAATCTAATGTAACTGGTTTTAAAATTTCTGTTATATGTCACACTGTCCAGTTGATGTATTTCTGTGAGATGCTGACAACAACAAACTAAGATGAAAAGTAGCTATAGCTTTTTGAAGTTTACAAAAAAATTTTTATTTAGGTCTAGATTAATAAATGGCAAATATACATTTATATTTGCCATTCATTTTTAAATATAAATTTTTTAATAAATAAATATATTAATTATATATATATATATTTAAATATAAGCTTAAATATTTGTATTGTGTATATATGTATACATTATAATATGTAGAAATAACATATTTTACATACAGGATAACCTAAAAGTAAATTAATCGTGTTTTTGGAAGCAATTTAGCAATTTTTGCAAGAATTTGTGGAATTGTGTTAAAACATTGTAATTTATGCATTGAACAAGAAGGCTACAATTTTAAACATATTTTGCAATGTTTGCAAGTAATAAACTATTTGAATAAGACAGCAATTTAGTTTTTGTTGGTTAACTGACTTTTGGCCACGCTGTGTATAGATTCTGTGTTAATAATATATATTTTTTAAACAAAACTTTAAAATATCTTTAAAATATATATGTGAAAATTGAATACTTATTATTTATAAAGTAATATCTATTCTAGAAATATTTTAAAATAATATATTTA